TTTTTTTGACTGCTCGGTGAAACGCATAATAACGATCCCCTTTCGTTGTTTAAACAATACCAACTTACACCGACTATCTTGAGAAAAAGTTTTTCCTAGACGAAAAATGGTAACAAGGGCGACCAGTTTTATCTACTCCGGTCTTGTCGACGACGACGACGACAACGACAACGACGACGAACCTTTCGACGAAATTATTTCCCGGCGCCTCGCAGCTGCCGGGTATACCCCCTACCCCCACCCCCCTTCCCCCTTTCCACCGAAACGTAATCTTTTATCGAGAAGAGAGAAAGCGAGAGGTTCTCTTCAAGCTCGAGATTGAAACTCGAACAGTCAGAAAGAATAAATCTGCTTTGCACGAGAGGAGGGGGGGGAGGGGTAAGGGGGTGAAAGGGAGAGGTGGTTCAAAATAAAACGTCAAAAAAACGCACACACACACACACAGGGTCGATCTTTCTTTCTTTCTTTCTTTCTTTCTTACTATCAAAAGAATAACATTCAATTGTAACAAACAGACAGTTTTCTTTTAAAGTGAACGAAAAAGAAAATAAAAATCGGAAAATAGAATTTGATCGATTAATCGATCGACAAATGTTATAAAACGATGATAATGTTTTATTCCGTTGAAACGTACCGATCGATGATGATAAATTTACTTTTGAAAACGACGATCTAATACGCGTATGTGTGTGTGTGTGTGTGTGTGTGTGTGTCTATGTTAGTTTTCAAGAAAGGAAAGTAACTATAAATCAAGGATTTTCATTTTGCGACGACGCTAACATATTGCCCTCACGATATTGTACATTTTACGAGAAACTACCTCACCGATAGATTTGTACGGCTTGATTCGCGAAACAAAAGTCGCGCATATGGTTGTTGAAAACAATTTGTGGGCTTAACGCAAAAGATCATTGCGTATGTACGCGATGACTTGCAAGACGCAAAATAGTTTCTCTTGTGATTAAGTACCCACATTTCGTATTTTCTCCAGAGTTATCGTTTTTATTGATAAAAAAAAAAAGAAAAAACATTTCTTACGAATAATAGGTTTCTTCTTAACGAATCGTATAAATCATTCTACTTATTTAGAAATTCTTGAGAAGCAAAAAATTGATGAAACTCTTCAATCGGTTAATAAGAATCGTATCCATCCCTTTTTTTATTATTATTTTCAATTCATTTGGGAAACTCGAACGAACGTTAAACACGGAAAGTGATTACTAATATAATGACAGAAAAAAGATTTCAATGTCAGTTAAACGAGAATCAAAGATATCCATCCCCCTACTCTTTCGTATGAAGAATGATACCCTGACCATCGTGGTGTGTTTATGAACGGACTTCTCGACTGAAACCTGTCGTCAGGTTTCTTTTTTCATAGTCGACGACGATCCTTCGCGTTCAAACCTAGCGACGTGTATCAGATGATACACGCCATGGAATGGCAGCATTTCTTTTATTAACATCCATCTCGGTGTCCCTTGATCTCTTTTTCTTCTTCATCCTCGTTGTTCTCTTTACACCCTTCAAATTCACCGACCCTTCTTCTCTTTTTTTATTTTTTTTTTTTTATTTTTCCTCTCTTTGTTATTTTTCTCCTACTTTAACTCCTCTCTTTCTATATTTTCTCTTTCAAGCATAAAAGTCAAGCCTTTGGCTTGATCTAACTGGACAACGTGATGTCCAGTTAATGAAGATTCGTTCGTTTGTTTGTTACTTCATCATCAACAAATAACCAAAGTAAAAGAAGAAGTACGGTTAAATGAAGCTGTGTTGCTGAACACGTTGCTGAACGAAGCATATTTTAATGTCTTACTTCAACCGATAACGTACGTGCTCGGTGTGTAAATACGATGAACAACTTGGTAATGCGTTGAGAAACCAGTTTTCGAGATTACAACGATAGAAAGATTGAAGAAGGATGACGATGAATACGACATACAACAACATCAACAACAACAACAACAACAACAACAACGTTAGGTCGCGTGGCATTTAGGCTCGTGACTTTTTGTCGAGAGGGTCTTTTGACTAATCGACTAATAAAAGCAAAGAATGAGGCGTAGAATGATTCTAATAGAAATTTTTAACCTTAGGGGGAAAAGAAAGAAGGAAAAAAAGAACCTTCAATGAAAATTCTTTCCTCCTTAGATCGGAGTAGAAATAATCGAACTCATTTTTCAATTCCAAGTCTCCCCCATTTTTAAGTAAATCTCCGAGTATTTATTTCATCAAGTTAGATCGAACGATCTTAAACGATTGAATGAATTTACCTTAAATCTATGAGCAAAATTTCTACGAAATATTTCTCTCTTCCTCTTTCTTTTTCTCTCTCTCTCTCGTGACGAAAACGCTTAAACATTTTATCGAGAATAAAAGAGAAGGATCATTTAGATTGAGAGGATGAAATAGAGTGTACGTACGACCTCTCGTTGGTAATCGAGAATCTAAAAACGAGATTTAGTTATAGCTTTTCTCTCTCACTCTCTCTCTCTCTTTCTCTCATTCATTTACTCACTCTCTCGTGTCATAATCCCGCGTAATTGCTGTTATACGGCATTACCTAATAAAGAGCAAAAAATCCTACCGGAACAGCCAGTACAAAAAGGAAGAACCAGTTTTAAACGTTAATCCCATCTCGTTTTCTTTTACTCATTTCACGTTAAGTAACCAACCAATAATTCTTCTCATACACTGGTCACGCGCACACATACACACACACACATTTATTATTAAATCTATATATATGTATGTATTAACGATAAAAATATAATTTAGTATCTTTCGATTTTGTTGCAAAACAAACAAAAAAGGAGGAGGAGGAGGGGGGGGGATTATTCTTTTCGTTAAAAGCATCTTTTATCTCGTGGTATTATTTTTCTTTATTATTCTCGATTTTCAAGTAAACGTTCGTAAATTTGTGAGAGAGAAAAACGTAACTTATGGATAAGATTACCGGTTATATTCGCGGTTGCGAACGAAACTCCTCTCGGGTTGTGAGAAAGTAGAAGGAGAATGTGAAAGTGGGCGAGAAAGGAATGGAACGGAAGGGAAGGGGAAGGGTAAGGGGAAGGGGAAAGAAGGACCGCTTTCAGGAATTTCAGGATTAATGTGACAAAGCTTATTTCGGTCGGTCGGCCTTACATGAGCGCGAGCGTGCACGAATTACGAGGGAACCCCACCCCACCCCATCCCAACCCAACTTCAACCCCCAAACCCCCACAACAAAAACGGTTTCCACGACCGTAAGCACGCTCGACGATCGTTTTTCTCTTTTTTCTTTCTCCTTTCTTTCTTTCTYTCTTTCTTCTCTTATTTTTCATTCCAACGTTCGCGTTTTCGCAAACTAACACGCGAGTCACGAAAGATAAATACACACACGCACGCACAAAACGGCGTTAAACGTATCACGAAAAGTCACTAAAACGAAGAAGTACTTTTTTTTTTCTTCTCTTTTATTTTTTCATTCTTATTAGTTAGTTAGTRTCTTATTGGTAGTTTTCTTGGTAAAATATAAAAATCTTTTCGTTGTATGTCGTAAAATATCATTCATCTTCTTATTCTCTTCTTGTTCCTATTTTTCGTAACATTACGATGCGTACAAATTAACGATCGAACGGCACTCATTTTACAAAGTTTTTCGTGATTCGTTAGAACTTCGTTTAAAATTCGTTCGAAGAAAGTCGACTAACATTCCTTATACGGTGATTTTCGTTTAACGATTTGTTGTAAAGAAAAGAAAAGAAAATAAAAGAAGAAGAAGAAGAAGAAAGTCTTATGCCATTCTGGGTACGGGTTGTTAAACTTTATTATTACTCATTCCTTGATCTTCTTGGCAAGTTAAAGTTTTCGTAAAGTATCGTGAAATTTCTCTTTTGAAAAATGATTAATTTTCAACGATTCCTTTTTCTAACAAACTATTACTACTCGTAAATGTTTTTATGGATACGTTTAAGAACCATCGTATTTGAATTTTTCTTTTACAGATACTTCTGTCGCACTTTGACGCATTCAAATTTCCCAGCTCTGAAGTTGTACAATTTCGTGCATTGGTGACACCGTGCATGCCAAGCTGCGAACCGGTACAATGCGATCAAGAAGAAGCTACGGGAGAATTAAGATCGGTGATTTCCTTTGGTAGACGTCGTCGTCGTCGTTCTACAACGTCATCGCAAAGCCGAGAAGACTTACTGTTGGTGCAATCGATTCAAATTACGGACAAGTTTGGATTCGAAAGAGAAGGCAAATCGTCTAATGGAACATCGGCAACGCGAGACACCGTTTTCATCGAAAGTACCGAAGACATTAACGGTTCGTCTATGGGAGTTTGCATAAATCTTGGCGAAGCAATCGTTGCTGGTACGGTCTTTCTCGTGGCACAAATTGCCCTAATCGCTGTATGGACCTTCACTTGGCAACGGCGTCGACAAATGTTAAAAAATCAGGAAGCTCTATCGGTATCGGTATCCGTACCAGGTATGCACTCACCTGGTTCTGCTCGTACCGATAGTCTCTGTAAGTTGTACGATGCTGGTTACACCGGACGTCGTTTCTAAACTCGAGACATTCATTTATTTTTTTTTGTCTTTATCAACTTTTAAATCTCTCTTCGATCATCATCATCATCATCATCGTCCCTTTTCTCGCGTCTCGTCCTCCCGTAGTAAATTATATTTTATATACATATCTACACACCATGTATTACTACTAYTACTACCGGCGGCGAGTAGTAACGATGATGCACGAAACAACGCGAGTCCCGATTTTTGTCACGACGAACGGACGATTTTATAACGCTTTTACTTTACCACCACCCCCCCCTCCTCCCTCCCCCGTTTTCATCATCTTTATTAGTTTTTTCTTTACTTTATACTTTACTTTTTATTATTTTTCTTTCAACTCACAATCATTTTTCTAGCTCGTTGCTTAACACTCGTCCGTTACCTTGTACTCGGGAATCGCGTGAAATTTTACACTCGGCGCAATATGACTTTAATAAAAATATTAAGCTCGACGGCTTGGACACAGATAATAGAAAGAAAAAAAAAAAAAAAGGAAAGATATTAATTTACAGATTGTATTAATCTGTAAAACATAATTCAATGTGAACATTGTCTGGTCCAAGTCATCGATCGAATTACTTGCGCTGTTTGTAAATCGCGTGCAACTTTTACGCTCGTGCATCTTCTCCATGTCCCCTCCCCCCTCCCCCACTTTAACTTAACGCTTTAGAACGATCGATCGATCAATCGATAATCGAAATAAAGAAAGAAAAAGAAAAGTAGTAGTAGAGTGAAAAATGGCTAAGGTGATAGTTCGAAAAGTAAGTTCGATCGGTCGTTTTGTGGGTTTAAAGAAAGAAGAAGAAGAAAAAGAGGCACGATGACGTAAAAAAAAAAAAAATATAAAAGAAGAAGAAGAAGAAGAAGAAGAAAAAGAAAAAGATATGTGAAGTATCTGTTTTTCTTCTTCATCTTCTTTTTCATCATCATCGGACAAACCGGCTTCTTCTCGTTAACCCTTCGTTCCCAAGGTGATACGCACGGGCGTGGCTAACGTAAAGGGCTCATAAGGTGATGGAGGTCGACGTGTATTTGCTACGTTGGATAGGGCACCACAACGTGGACTCTAATTAGCATTGGGAATCGAGCGTGATTATGCAGATGCTCCACCGAGTAGGATATCAACGGGTGTAACGATGGGAGGTTGTGGTTGGGTTAAGGAAAGCACGCGAGAGACGACCGGCTGCTGCTGCTGCTGCTGCTGCTGTTGGAGATGCACGAATTGGAATGAGAGAACCGAGAACGAGGGTTAGAGGGGAGATGAGGAGAACGTGGCTGAGAAGGGATGATATGCGCGCAAAGGGGTTGGCGGAAGGTTAATTGCCTCTTGTGGTGTCTCGAGGCTAAGCTAAGCTTGCAGGGTAGAGAGCTTGATAGGGTTAGATGTACCCACAGCCGGTGAACGGAAGGGAGGTAGGTAGTTGTCCTACAGGAGATGCAGAAGGAAGACAAGGAGGAGGTGGACGTGGAGGAGGAGGAGGAGGAGGAGGAGGAGGATGATGATGGTAGCTCTGGATCACATCGGAGATAGCCATCTCCTCCACAGCCACGTAACCCCGATCTCTCCCCTTTTGACTGAACCTTAGCCACGTCCTGCATCTCCGTTCCGTGTGCCTGGCTTAATTTACATTGCAACGCGTGACCTTATCAATCTGAACCGACCAATTCTCTCTCTCTCCCTCTCTCTCATTCTCACTCTCTCTCTGTCTCTCTATCTGTCTATCTGTATGTGTCACTGTTTCTAATAAGAATAAGAGAAATAATTATTTATAAATTTAATAAATAAATATTAATAATCTCTTAGCAATATTAATTTCAAATTTAACGCGATGTCGAATTCGTAGTTTCAAACGAAGTAGCAGCAAACGTGAGGGAGAGTTAATATGAATGCCAGAGATAGAGAGAGAGAGAGAGAGAAGAAAACACAAAGTGGCTAAGCAATCGAAATTCAGCATAGGCGATGGTAGTTACGCTGAGTAAATTTAGATCGATTAACCTTATCGAGAAGACTTGGTCGATTCTCTCGACGTTGCTCTACTAAGTGGTAGGGAAATCGAATTAATCGAGAAAGTTGAAGATTAGAATACGCTAGTCAAGGCAAACAGACAGGGTGAATGATAATAGAAAAGGATGGGAGAAAGAGAGAAAGAGAGAGAGAGAGAGAGAGAGAAGTTGGTGGAAAGGGTAGAGAGATGAAAAGCGGATTGCCATAGAGGAATTTACCTTACAGTTAGCCGAACTTTGAATTGTTCTGCTGTTTGACGTTTGTCTACGGTGGAAACGAGGGAAGCGTGCTCGTGGTTTATTCCCGTACGTATGTATCTAACCAGTAGAATACGTGGATAATGACTACCTGTCCGGTACGTTCAACGTCGGGGTAACGTAGTCTTCTCTCTCCGTGTCCGTAACCCTTTTTCTTTTTCTTTTCTTTATTTCTTTCTTTCTTTCTTTACGCGTATTCCCAATGTCACGGCGCGTTTATAAAATTTCTACTTTCGTGCCGTCGGTAATGATTTCAATCACCAACCCGAGACTGGATTATATATAATTTACGAGGAAGACAGGAAGAAACGCGGGGGTGGAGTGTGTACGCGTCAGAGAGAGAAAAAAAAGACAAAGAAGAAAGAGAGAGAGAGAGAGAGAGAGAGAAAGAGGAAAAAGGGAAAGACAAAAAGACAAGAAAGTTTAATTGGCTGTTTTTAAAATATTAAGTAAAAATCTCTTTTTCTCTCTCTCTCTTTCTATCTTTCTTTCTCTTTCTCTTTTTTTCCATCCCTTCGTAAAAAAGAAGAAAATTTTATACTTTTCTTTTTATGTTTGTTTGTTTGTTTTTTTTTAAACCTCCCTCTTTTTTCGTCGATGCAAAAAGCTACGATTAGTTAGTTTGGTGGTTTCTTTTATTTTTCTTTCAGTTTTATTTGTTTGTTTTTTTTTTTAAATTCACTCTCTCTCTCTCTCTCTCTCTCTCTCTCTCTCTTTCTCTCTCTCTCTCTTTCGATACGATCGCGAGTGAACTTTCCACGTGAAATTTAACTCGTTTAATTTTCCGCTCGCGAACGAGAAGGTGGTGCTCGTTTTCTTCTTACCCACGTATTTTTCCGCCAAACCCTTCTACGCTTATATTCATCTATTCGCTTTTTTGTTCTTTTTATATATATATATATATGTATATCTTTTAACAAGAATAACAAACAAACAAATAAAAAAAAATATATATATATATATATAAAAATATACATACACATATATACCCCATACTCTATAGAGTATGATAAAATACCGACTGCTGGTGCCTAATGAGTTTTTATATACTTTCTTTTTTTTTTTTTAATTATTATTATCTTTTTTAATTGCGAGCGTCACAACTCGACAAAAGAACGCTTTTTAATTACGAATAAACTTTTAAGGATTTTTCGCTATAACGCAAGAGATAGTATATATATATATATATATATATATTATTCAATCCGCTTTGTGGTGAGTGGGTAGAGTCAATTTTTTCTTTTCTTTTTAATAATTTTTTTTTTCTTTTTTTATTAAGCTTTTCTCATCTCTATATCCATTATAGTCTCTTGGTAATAAATAAACAAACGTAATATCTCAGTATAGTTATCAGTGAATCGTGTGTGCTTAGCAAATGCGTTATTTGTTAGACGCGTAATAGCAAAGTGCACTTTTTGCCGATGTACGACCAGACGCGAGAATATTATTTTATTTTCCTACGTTTATTAATCTTCCCTTGCTTTTATCTGACATTTAAAAAACATTCGAGAACAATAAAAGAAATAATAATAATAATAATAATAATAATAATAATAATAATAATAATAATAATTTCTCGCGTCTATGTCGTACGTTACGAAAAAAAAAAAGTAAACAAGAGCAAACAAGCATTTAGCAATAAAACGAAGTAAGGAGAAGTGATAAAAAAAAAAAAAAATGAAAAAAAAAGAAAAAAAAAATATAAGCAGAACTAAGGACAGGTGTATCACACAGGAGCACTTTCCATCGACTTGATCGAACGAACAGCCGCACCGAGGT